AGCGACGGCCGTCGGTGGCTCGAATCACTCGACTCAGAGCGTGGAAGCATCGCTGACGAGGTACTGTACTGGGAGCGCCATAGCATCTCGCACTACGTTGGCCAGTGGCAGACGTACAAGACTCTTGGCGCGATCCAGACGTACTCGATCCAGAATGCTGTCGGAGTCCAGTACCCCTTGATGCTTCGATACAGCAACAGCTCGTTGCACCCTGCGACGCAGACGTCGTTCAAGATGCAGCTACCCCTCGCGAGCTACTTCTGGCACGTGACGAGCAACGCGTCGCTTATCGTCGGCCGCAGTCTTTTGCGGCAGAGTCCGCATTTTGCGTTTGCCAACATCAGCATAGTCTCGCTTTTGATCACGAACGAGACGCTGACCGCACCGCTGGACCCCAATCTCGCTCTTGTTCAGAACCAGATTGGGCCGTTTGGAGCCAACCTCTTGCTACGCGTGACGTGTCCGCCCGTGCTGCGGCAATGGTACGAGCACACCCACGCCCATCTGATGGCGCTGGCATCGGCAAACGAAACGACGGCCCTCGCCTTCCGGGCCATTGGCACCCCCATCGCGCTGTCTGTGATTCCGATCGCGTGGATGTCGGAGGGTTTGTTTACCGGCGGCAGCGTCCTCTGTCCGTCAGAGAAGCCCAGATCCGTCACCGTAAGCTCCTTTGGCCCCAGTGGTCCTTGTGCGCTTGGTGCGATGGAAGAGCTCGACATCTCCAACATCAAAGCTCTCATGGCACTCATCGCTGTGGAGACGCCTACGATCAACGCCTCTGCCATCTGCGTACGGCAGCAAGGGTCGCCCGCCGCGTGCACGGACATGCTCTCGAACGCTGCTGGCTTTCTCCGCATGTTCGTTGCGGCGCCCGATTCGGCGCTCGTGGATCTTTCGTCCGCCGCGCAGCGCCATGTGACGGAGACCGTGTCGCTCAAGCTCGTGCAGTTTACCGACAGCGGGCGCTTCTTGCAAACGCCCGTCTTCGCGGACGAAGGGTTCCGCGTGTTTGCGTGGAGCCAGCTCATCGACTGGGTCCTCGGCCTGCGCGAAGTCGTGACGTTTCTCGGCGAAGAAGGCTCGGTCACGACCATCTCGACGCTCGTGCACGCAGTCGTCTCGCCCGTGAACCCGCTCGAGGTGCCTGTGAACGTCGCTCTCTACTGCCGCTACGTGCTCTTGTACATCACGTCAGTTCTCATCATCGTCGCGGTCCTTGCGCTCGCGTACCTCGCTTCCAACAAAGGGTTTCTGGAAGGCGCCAACCTCTTTGCGCTGAACCGCGTCTTGGGGCTTGTATGGATTGGGCGACCGCTGCTTTTGCTGCGGGGCGCCACGGCGCTCTGTCTCCTTGCTACCGCGAGCGTTCATTTGACGCAAATCAGCGGCCTCTACTACTTGGTGGCCGTGCCCCAAGCGTGGTACTCGACCGTCATGGCGGCGGGCGAGACCGGTTGGCTCGTCTTCATCCTCAACGACGCCTTCTCGGTCGTCACGCGCCAGTACACGGCCGTCTACGCAACGCAGAGCAACTTGCTCGTGTGGGCAGCCACCGCCATTTGGACACTGCTGTCGCCCGTGGCCTACACCGTCTCGATTCAAAATCGCTGCGCAGTAGTCGCGCTGGATGCGCAGCTTGTCTGCCACGCTGGTGTCTTTGCGATCGGCAGCACGCGCCGCCTGCTGTCCCTCTTGGGGCTTATCTGCGCGCTGTTGCTCATTTGGTTTGTGGTGCAGCGCCTGCGCTTTCCGCACTTGGCGCCACTCGCGAAGCGATCGTACCTCTTGTACGCGACCGCCCGCTACCACTTTGCGACGGACGAGTGGACGCACAAGCAGATTTACTACATCGACCAGACCTCGGCCGTGCTCACGGGGCTCGTGAGTCTCCGATGCGGCCGCGTCATCTACGTCCTCGACATCAAGTCGTGGCGCGTCTTTGCGATCGATGCAACGTCTGAGCTCGCCGAGGTCGCGGCGAATCCCTCGCTCGCGCACCTCCGCGACGCGATTCCACTCAAACACTAGTGCGAAATAGATATATCAATGTATCAACGGCGAGTGATCGCCTTCTTGAGGTCATGGAACTTGATGGACACTTGCTTTTGGAAGCGGGACCAGCGCTTCTTGAGCGCCGTTTCTTCTTGGAGGTAGCGCGCAATGTCCTGCTGGCCTTTCGTGAGCGCGTACCAAAGAACCCCTTTGACGTCGTGGTTGTAGCCGTTCTGGTGCAGGAAGCGGACAACGTCGAGGTGGCCGCCCGGCACCGCATCGTACACGAGCCCATACATCTTTTCCGTGTGGATCTCGTGCAAAAACTGGACGATGCCGAGGTGCCCGAGCTCAACGGCGTACCGCAGCGCAAACTTGTCAAAGCCCTCAAAGCGCCGCGCGTGGAGATACCGGAGCACGGGCAGGTGGCCGTTGATCGTCGTCTGCGACACGATGTGCTTGCCGCCGCCGTCAACGCCGCCGAGATGGTGCTCGTACAAGTACTCGACGACCTCAAGGTGCCCTCGCTCGCATGCTATCTGGAAGCAGCCGTCGGGAACGTCGACGCCGGCAGCATGTAGCTGCTTGAGCGCCTCAACGTGGCCGCTGCGCACGGCGCCCTTGAGCGTAATGCGGAGCAAGTGCGGTGCATGAACGTACGTCTCGATCAAAAAGGCGACAATCCTCGGATGGCCGTGGAGCCCTGCGAGCTCGAGGTCGTGGTAGCTGAGCTCGATTGGGAGCTCGCGCAAGGCCGAAACGTTGTCGCACACAAGCGCGTAGCAGACGAGGTGGCGGAAGAGCTTGGACGGCAAGTACATGTCAATGTGCTCCACGCCGCGCGCCGCCGCCCACGCGGGAAACATGGCGTGGACCGGCGCGAGTGCAAGCGGCAGCGTTTCGAGTACGTCGTCGGCCGTGAGGTCGATCGCGCGCAAAAGCTGACGCAGCGCCAGCGTGTCCTTGTCGCAGCCGCGCTGGAAGCTTACAACGAGGCGGAAGAGGTCCCTTGTGCCGAGGACCCGCGCCACGAGGAGGTTGAGCGCCATCTTGTGCTCGTCCGTGGAGGAGACGGCCGGTGCTTTGCTGCGCTTGGCGTACCAGAGGTACGGTCGCCGCTCAAAGAGAAACTCGACGATCTCCATGTGCCCACAGTCGGCTGCGATCGAGACGGCGGCGTCCAGGTCCGGATACTGGATGTCGTGCAGGAACTGGATCATGCCGAGGTGGCCATGCGCTGCAGCGTCCGCGACCAGCGACGCTGGAAAGTACCTGTAGCCGGCGTCGTGAAGAAACCGGACGACGGGGTCGTGACCACTCGCGCACGCTTCGGCGTAGGCTGCTTCGGACGCCTTGCCGCCCGCTTGATGGAGCGCAGTGACGGCGTCGAGGTGGCCGTTGGCGACGGCCTGGTGCATGATCATGGAGGCGTGCACGACGCTGATCCGCGGCAGCAGGAACCGGATGATCGAGAGATGCCCGTGCTCGCCCGCGAGAAGAAGGTCTTGCTCCGTGATCTGGAGCACGTGGCACGTCTCAAAGCAAGAGAGAATGTCGACGTTACCAAGGATGAGGCCGTAGTGCACCAGGCGGCGGCGGCGGTACCCCGGAAGGAGCTTGTCGATGCGGTCGCCGCCGTGGCGCTCAAACCAGACTGGCAGCGCGTCGAGAAAGGCCGTCAGCGTCCGCGCGTGGAGTGTCGCGCCCGAGCTCGTGAGCTCCTTGAAGAGACGGCCGAGATACAGCGTCGCACCGGGCACGCCGACCTGGTAGGCGGCAAGAAGGGCAAAGAGGTCGCGTGACGTGAGCACGGCGCTCGTCGCCGCTCGTGGCGCCAAGAGGTGGTCGAACGAAGCGACGTCGACGGCGGCCATGGCTGCGAAGGCTCCGATATACGCAGGTGGCTGCGATGGGTGCACCCAATCACGGGCCATGAAGAGTGTTAGGTAACGCTGCGTGGCAGCGCGCGTGGCCGCAGACTCTGTGGTCGCCATGTCGCAGGGTTGCGCGACGCGTCTCCGCCGAGGCAGCGGTCAAGGGCGAGGCCAAGGCGAGGGCTGCGGGCGACGCATGCCACTCGCGTACGCTGGCCCAAGGAGCGTTGCATCCGGAGGCTGGAGGCCGCTGAACTTTTTGACCAATCCCATTCGTTTCAGCGTCTCTTCCGCGGATTATCTACCAATGAGCGACGTCCTTGACGTCTCAAGGATCGCGTCGCTCGCTCGCCTTGACCGGCTCAAGAGCTTTTGCACCTTGTGGGTCCACACGGTGGCTGCCAGCTGGCCTTCGTCTGCCATCCGGATCAGGAGCCAAAGCTATGGGGAAGAATTACGCCTGGCAAAGGCTGCCAGAGGCGTGGACAGGATTCTTGGATCAGATTTCAGGGAGCCGGAACGTCACCGCACTGGACTGCCCTGCAACCTCCTGCACGAAGCACGCTTGGCCATTGCCCACCATGTTTCAAGTACTTGTGAGATAAAACGGTCTCTGGACTATTCTTGCAGCGTGCTAGGACATACGCATGGCCTCCGGTAGCCTTTTTCGAATCAAAATAAAAGCCATTTCCTTCTTCTTTGCTCTTTGCTGCTCCATCGTAACGACCTTCAAGTGGCACGCGGTGACGAACGGTGTCACGTAAGATACCGCGGGGCGGGCGACGCTTGATGACACTGACGGAAGCGACCAAGGCTCGTTCAATTGTTTATGCACCTCGATTCCTCTGGCTGGCGCGGTAGCAACGCCCATCTGTGTCGACGCGCCCCGCCATGTGGCAGAACGTGGGGACAAAAACACAGATCCCGTGACTCACACCCATCATCCGAGTTGGTCACTCCATCATCATCATCAACATCGACGACCATGCCCCGCTTTGGGTCGACGCTGCCGGCGCAGGTCGAGATCCTCGAGATCGACATTGCTGCGCTCGACAACCTCCTCCGCACCGATACGACGACGCACGTGCTGCGGTCGCGCGACCTCGTCCGCGCCATTACCGCGTACCAAACCGGTTGCGACGAGATCAGCGTGACGCTCTTGGCGATTCTCCGCCGCCTCTACCTCCCGCGCTACGATCTACACGACTCGGTGCCCGAGGCCTTTGTGCCGCTGCGCCACGTCCTGCCGTGGTGGCTCGCCAAGCACGCTGCGGACCTTCTCCAGCGTCTGCCCATCGACGTCCGCGCACCACTGCTCTGCTACGCAATGGTGCACGGCCACATGTGTCTGCTCGAGACACTTGTCGCGACGGATCAACTCCAGATGGACGAGCTGCACTGGGACCTCCTCGGGCGCCACGGCCACCTCAAGGTGCTCCAGTTCCTCCTCGCCGCTGGCGTCTCGGGGCCGCTGCACTTGGTGCTCGAGAACGCGGCCGTCGCGGGGCATCTCAGCATGGTCGCGTACCTCCATGATATCGGCGTGCCCGTGACGTCCGAGACGCTCATACTCGCATGCGTCTTTGGCCGCATTGAGGTGGCGCAGTACGCCCACGACGTAGCCAACGACGGCATCTGGGACCCCGAGACCGTCGACTGCGCGGCGCGGCGCGGCCATTTGAACATTGTGCGTTTCCTGCACCAGTTTGACTACGACGGCTTCTCGAGCAGTACGATGGACGTGGCAGCCGAGCACGGGCACCTAGAGGTCGTTCGGTTCCTCCACGAGCACCGCTTCGACGGCTGCTCGGCCGCTGCGATGCTTGGCGCCGTGCGCTATGGCCACCTCGAGGTCGTCATGTTCCTCGACTTGCACCGACCCGACGCGGCGACGGACAATGCGGTCGTCGTCGCGATGCAGCACGGCCAGGAGCACGTGATTGCGTACTTCCAGGAGGAGCGCAAGCTCAAGAAGCGCTTTTCGCGGATACAAAAGAAGGTCGCCGTCCTTGTCCGCAGCAACGACAGCATGCGCCACCTGTACCACGGCCCAAAGACCAAACTCTGCTCGGCTTGAATGTATATCACGTATTTTGTACTACAAACTGGCCTCGCGCTTGTCCTTGATCGAGCTCTGGCGGCGGTGCACGTACGACTCGGGCGGCGTCTTGAGCTGCCGGAGCATCCTCGGCTGCGTCTGGGTGCGGGGCTTGTCGCGGAGGCCGTACTGCGCGCGCAAGAGGTGGTGGGCTTCTTCGAGGCGCAACAAGAGCCCCGCGACGCCGTTGTGAAGCGCAGTTGCGTCGGCGTCGGCGGTCGTCACGAGGCGCCGGAGCTTTGCGAGGAGCGCGGGCGCCGTCGAGGGCTTGGCCGCGTCCACATGAATAGCGCGCTCGCTCCAGCTCGCGTCCGACTGCTCCCACGGCGCAAACGCGTGCTTTCGAATCGTGCGCTGGCGCTGCTCGAGCATGATCTTGAGATCGCGCGTGAAGGTGGTCATGGTGCGCTTGAAAGAAGGCTTGGACTTGGTCTCCGTGCGCTTGGGCGGCTCGATGGGTTTGTCCGGCTCGCGACTGGAGACGGCGTAGCCCGCCTGGAGATGCGGCGCGAGAACCATCTACGCACGGAAATGCTGTGGAGCTATAACAAGACAAATTGTCCACCGTCGCAAACGGAACGACGACGCTGTTGATACTGACGAGGTACAGGACACTGGGCCACTCGGCGCCAAGGCTCAGGATGGCGTGGGTCGCGTCCTGCGACACAACATCGTGGAAGACGCCGACAACATTGGTCCAGAGCGACGCTGACGTCGTTGAGAGAAACCGAAACTGCGCCAAACCAACGACGACGACCGCCATGTACAGCGCGTAGCTCGCAATCATGGCCAGCGACGCCTACGCCACAATAGTGTCGATAAACAAAAAAGGAATTGCGTACGTCGAGGACACAGAGGAGGTAGCGCAGCTTCTTGAAGGCCAGGTACCGGGGGTAGTTGAGCCACATGAGCAGCGAGATGCAGCCAAAGAGCACGCGCTCCAGCTTGGCGACCGCGATGACATCTACGCCACAACTGCAATACCCATTGAAATAGAGAGCGTACTCTGCAGCGACACAAAGCTCGGCCCCGCGAGCTGCACCGAGAGGCTGTACGTGGTCATGGCCAAAAACTGAATGCGAGACGCCCACATGGCCAGCCAGAGCACGACGAGCACCGCGTCGAGGACGTGGCTCGGGATGTAAAAGTAGTACTGGCGGTACCGACGCACCTTGGCAATCAGATCGTAGAGGATGCTGAGCGTGCATAGAATGAGCGCAACTTCGAGGTAGAAGAGTCCGGCGAAGAGAAAGACGCCGTGATAGGGGCTGAAGAGCACCGACTGCGCCGAGATCTCCGAGTAAATGCCACCGCTCGCGACATCAACGACAAACGAGAGCGAGAAGGCGACGCACGCGTCGTCGGCTGTGTTGTAGAGGTTCCACTCGAGCACGAGCGCGCGGGTGTCGGCGTCGAGCCACTGCGTTAGCTGCCACTGCGAGAGCACGCACTTTGCAGATGAGCACTGCGGCGCCAATGCCGCATCTGTCGGCAGCGTCGAGAGAAAGCCGCCGGCAGGGATCGCATACCCATGCAAGGTCATGTCAACCGACTGCGACGCCGCGCCGTCCGACCAGGCGCCAAACTTTGGCGCGCTGGTTACCGTCGCAAGCGAGTCTAGACAGTGTGCTCTATAAGAAGTCAACAGGTGCTAACCGTACGGTTAGAGGTCGCGCGCACTTGACGGGCTTGGACATCGCCGATGAGGAGTTGGCTGCCAAAGACGATGCGAGGATTGTCAAGCGGATCGCCGTTGTACCACGTCGTCGGGAAGAGCGACGACGTGAACGGCGCGCTGTTGAGGTACCCGTAAAGTTCGGGAATTGAACTGAGCAACGGGGGGACGCGGAGCCGGTTGACGAGCGGCGCCGTGTTGGTCGCGAGGCTGTACGGCGACACGGCGGCGTAAATGGCAATGAGCAGCAAAAACACCGAGTAAAAGACGGCGTCGCCGTGCGTCACGCCTTCGTGCAAAGCGTAGATGTGACCGTCTTGGATCGCGCATTTCTGGAACGTCGTGATGCGGCCCGTGAGCTCGAGCCGCGTGTGCGCGTACGCCGGGCCTGCGCACATCGTTAGAATGAAAAATAGAAATGCTTCAAAGACCCTTGTACAAGGCAACTGCGCGGTACGCAAGGTCCAAGACATGGTTCTCGTTGATGACACGGTAGCAGTCGGGAACGTTGGCGATGCATTCGAGCAGCTGGAGACCTTCGAGCACGATCTCTTCGACGTCAATGTGCTTGGCAATCGCGCGCGCAATCAGACGCACGCCGCGGCGGTCGTGCACGGAGGCCATGATCGTCGTGTGGTGGCCTACGCCGCCTCAGAATCCAAGATAGGATAGTGCAGTGTACTGTCGGTGGCGAGGGCGTTGAGGAGTGCCAACGCATACCACGCCGTCTGCGCGTCGTCCTTGTGAATTTGCAAAGCGTGGAGCACGGTTGGGATCCCGTTCCGGCTCACAAAGTCCTGGCCGAGCTCCCCTGCATAAGATCTTATCCACCGAACTAAGATCGTAGCGCTCGGAGCAAGAACGTACGCAGCACGACGAGGTTGCTCAGTGGATACAGAAACGCGCGCGCAAGACTCAGCGACGCTTTGTAGCGGCTCAGGAGATCGAGCAGCTCTTCGACTAGAACCGTGGTGGCAATCGCGATTCGAATGTCATCTATCCGGATTGTGCATCGTCAGCATGCCCTGTCTCCACCGTGTCTGCACCGTTGAGCATCAGGCTGCCAAGGGCGTTGAGCGCATGGGCAATGACGTCGGGCTTGTCACCGTGGTTGCGAATGCAGTCGAGGAGCAACTGCGTGCCGTCGTCGACGGCGCAAAATGTCAGCGCCCGCTCGACTACAAAAACACTTTGCTCCTTTCAAATCAACGGTTAATACCATCGAGCTTGGCGTAAATGTTGATCGCGTCGAGGACCGGGCAGAGCAATTCTGGTTGGTGCGGGAACTTGCGCAGTGCAAAGAGCGCGAGCACGAGCCCGTCGGCATCGTAAAAGCCGTCGGACGGAGTCACCTATCGGTTCAATGCAGCGAGAATTACGGTGTTTTGGAATCTGTACCGTGAATATCTGCTCGCCACACGAAAAGTAAAAGTGCCCGGCGCTCGCCAGCGTCTTGAAGCCAGTTTGGACGGCCCAGATAGTGTCCATCTCGCGCTTGATCGTGCGGCAGATCTCGCCGACACCGTTTTCCTGAAGGACTTGGACGAGTTGCAGCTCGACTAGTCGTATTTTCGAAAGAGGAACCATTTGTACAGCGGACTACCTTGGTCGAGTTCCGCAATGACGTCGTCAGGCGTTGGCGCATCGCTCTTCTTGGGGTCTGGCAGCAGCTGCGCTCTCTCAGGCGGTGGTCGTGCCCAGCGAGGCATCGTACGTACTAAACGGTTGTCCTGTCTCGCCCAAGAGCCGCGACGGTTTTGGTCCCAACCGTCGCCCTTGACGCCGCCTGCCGCCTTCCTACTTCAATTTCCCGCCAGCCTCTGTACCCTCTTGTGCCACTGTTTTAGTCGTCAACGCAACACAACTAACATGAGCCACCAATCATTCACAGTCGACTAGTACGTATCGCATGCCATCGCAAGGGCAAAAAGGAAGCCACACAGTACGTTGGCCACTGTTGGTTTTGTCTGAAACGGTAAGGCGCAATGATCGTACCGGAGGCGCCACGGGCCACGATCATATCCGTCGCCGTCCAACGCGCGGGTCGGTGGCAGCAGTACCTAGCCGCGCTGAGTGCCGTGTACCTCGTTGCTTCGATGGGCATCGGGTACTACTACTTGCATCTCGTCCGGCCGAGCCTGGCGAGCGATCTGTGGTGGCGCGGCTTCACGACGGCGGGGGCGCAAACGTTCCTTGGCGACTTGTACCACCGGCGCCTGCAGCTCAGCACATCGGCGCCGCTGTCGCTGGCCTCTCCTGAGCTCGTCTTGGAGAAGGCGTACTCGGGCGCGACCTTTATGGACATGAGTCTCTCGCTCTCGCGCCACGTGCTCTTGCGCAATCTCTCGCTCGAGAGCATTTTGCCACCGATGCGCCGATCGTCGTTTGACTGGAACATTCGCATGTTCACGCAGTACTGCTGGGTCGACTGGAACCAATCGTACGAGCTCTCGGTGACAGCGGCGCGTCAGCGTCGGTGCTATCTGAAACAAGCTGCGAATGCCGCCGTCTACTGGGAACCGCTTCTACGTAACTCGGTCACCCAAGATATTGTCCTCAGCCCCTACTCGCTCGCGATGAATATCTCCCTCTTTGAGCACATTGACGCGACGTCGCTTGGCCACGACTGGCTCATGTCTCTCATGTTCCACGAGTGGCTGCCGGAAGCAGACGAAGTGGAGCTTTGGAGGCGCCGCGGCATGAGCTACTGGCAGACGCAGCTGACCAACTACTACGAGCAAGGCCTGCAACAGACAATTGTTGTCGAGAATGCGCTCGGTATTCACCAAAATGTGACGGTTCATCTCATGGCGCAGAGCTATCGCGGCCTCGCGCTTTGGACGCTCGCGAACGCGTACCCTGGTGTATGGAACGACCTTTTCGAGTGCCAAGCTCTGCGCTGCAGTCTCATTCGCGGCGCCAACAGCTACTCGGACAAAATCAAGCAGAATTGGGAGGTAATGCTGCTCGCGATCCCTGTCAACGACACACTGCCAAGACTCATCGATGCCAACATCGGTCCCATGGCCAGCATTGACGTGCGCATCGTGCTCTTACCCCCGGCGCTGCAAGCTTACTATATTCAATACCAGCGCTCGGTCGTCGCGCAGCTTTTGCTGTCGCCTGCCATTGCAGCCCGCTACATGCAAGTGCCGTCGTTGGTGGCAGCGATATCCCCTCCGGCGTGGCGTGGAGCCAACATGAGTTACTTTGGGGGCAACCCCATGTGCCTCAACGCCAAGCCCCAGCCGTTCGTCCAAGATCAGTTTGGTTTCTACGATGCGTGCGACGCCCAAGCGCCGGCGACTCTGATGGGCACGCGTCCCAGCCTCTTTTTTTCGCTCGTGACGCTCGCCGTCACTGACGAAAGTGCTATCGTACGTCGCCTCGACGCCATCTGCAACTGTTGTGCTCAAGTCGGCGGATATCACACATGTCTGGCGACGCTCAAGCCACTTGCTGCGGTGGTTGCCGCCTTGGATCTCTCATCCCTCGCGACCTTCGCTGGGAATCTGGCTCTGGCAATGACGCAGCTGAATCTTAGCATGATTCAGCTAGGGATGAATGGAACGTCGCCCGTCTTCTTGACGCAGCCCGCGATCGCGCAGGAAGACCCGTGGTCCTTCTGTGGCTGGGCAATGGTTTACGACTGGCTGCAAGGTACGCGGGAGGCCGTCGAGTTTGATACCGACGCGGGTGTGTACCGCATCTTGACAGCATATACAGCGCCGAGCCAACTGCCCGCAAGCCCCCTCGAGCTCCCAAATCAAGTGTGCGCGTATGTCTGGCTCATCCTTCTCTACTCGAGTTTGCTCACGGGTGCTGTCGCCACCCTTGTCTTGCTCGCGTCATTGCGGTCCCCCGGTTGCCAAGTGTTTGCTTTTCATCGCGTCGCAAGTCTCGTGTGGGTCGGGCGACCCTTTCTTATGCTCCGGGGCACGACGGCTCTCGTGATTCTCAGCACTTCGCCGATGCAGTTTGCATCGACTGACAGCTTTACGCGCTTCACCTTTGTGCCCCGCACCCCATGGGACGTCATGGTGCTCTCGGGCGAGGCGACGTGGATAACGTACGTGCTCGTGGACCTCGCCTTGCCTGGCGCCGAGTCGCACGCCAAGCTGGCTGCGCCACTGAGCGCGCTCATCGCGTGGCTCACGACGCTGCTCATCGAGGTAGCCGCACCGTACGAAGCGACGGCAACCTTTGAGCAATCGTGTGAGATCGTCCAACTGGGCCTCGCAGCGTCGTGCACGGGGGGCGTCGTGCGCATCGGCAGTCGGGAGCGCCTCGGCGTGTTGCTCCTCGTGCACGTTAGCAGCGTCGTCGTTTCGTTTCTGGTAGTGATGGCACGGCAGAGACGAGGTTCAATCACCGACGTGCGGGGCAGCGACCTCTTGCCGGCGTCGGCGCAAGTTTTCTTGGCGCGCCATGCGACGTGGCACACGCGGCCAACGACCGTGATCATGGCCGGAATGTTTCCCCTTGGCGGTCGCATGTTTGTCGTCAACCTCTGGCAAGTGCTCGCGGTCAACAACGCACTCCAACTGCCGTCGCAAAGCAGCTACTCGTGCATCCGAAACTTTACTCTCTGGAAGTTTGGGCTCGTCGAGGTCGGGGGCATTGTATACGTCATCACGTCGGTAGTTGCTAGCTACACGTACATTTATGTCTCGTCGACGGCGATGGCCAACGACTTTTGGTGGGCGACCTTCAACGCGACCGGTCACCAGACGTTTGTGACCAACTGGTTTACGCAGCAGCTCCAGGTCCACCGGAACGGCTCGCACCTCGATCTCACGCAGCTGATCTACAGCGACAACTCAAATTTATACAACACCACAGCCACTGCGATCTCAGTCCCGATGCTCTACGCAAGCATGATTCAAGACGAAGCCAAC